TAGTTACACTGTTATATTGTAAGGAATCCAGAACACACACATACTCCTACCTCCACCCCCTTACCTTCTTTGCCCATCTCACTTCGCTTTCCCATAATTTCAAATGACTGCCCTCCATGGGGTGATACTCCTGTTTATTTTTCCTCTTTTTTTTTTTTCTACCTTTTACATGCTTTTTTTATCCTTTGAACCATGCACATAGTGTATCAATCGTCCAGCCTGGACGTTTCTCCGGAGTTTTTACGTACCTTTACATGGTATAGCTGGATATACATCTTAGAAAACCTCTCTGTCTGTTGAAAGTTGGTTATATGTAATACACTGAAACATACACTGGATGATCCTTATGATGTCATATAGATTGACCATTGACTGTATGTTGTATTCAGGAATACCTCACCTCTGTGCAGTACTGTGTACATTTTACTTCTGAGATTGATCACAACTGTATACTTCTTGATAAAACTTATAAATAAACAATTTAAAAAATGTAAACCAGAGGACCTCAATTTGATCCATGTATTGAGCTTTTGATTGGTTTCAATGCTGGCAAGATTGTTGTTTATGATCTGACGAATATCTGCAAGTGTTTCATGCGACCTGTAGCAATGGTTGTCAACTTAAGAGCTAAAGGATGCCTCAAATGCGATCCCTGACATCACCAAAGGGCCCCATATAATGCTCAATATATGTATTGCTTGAGAGGACTGTGAGACTTAATAGAGGAAATGAGGGTAAGAGTTTATGGAAATTCTATATTTTTGGCTGGGAATATGTTACATGAGGCTAGTAGAGATCAATGCTATTACCGTAATCAATGTTCCCACTGCACACCGCTGAGGTCCGGGACTGCATATCACATACCAAAGGGCCGTCAGACCACAGGTTGGGCACCAGGGACTTATAATGATACAGAATGATTAAATGTTCGTTCTTAGTAGGTATTCTCTAATTGATTGTATTTTAATCTATACCATACTGTATGTATTGTACCATTAATATTTGATGATGATGCATCTCTTGTTTGCAACCGCTCATACATAGATCAAGCAGAAATTGCTTCGTGTATGGCTACCCTTAGATGTCATACTGCAGATATACACCTATGAGACTGTAGGCACGGAAGTGCCTAGGTACCCTTACATATCAGGAAACGCACTGTAATTTCTCAAAAGGAATTCAAGATAAAGGTTCAAGGTTCTGCTTAGGCACAATTAATATGTTACTAAACCCAGGACCCTGCATTCACTATATCTGGTCTCCCACAGTACACAGAACATGGCAGTGCAATTATTTTAGTAGTAAATATACACTGCTAAATACCTTTTCTCATCAGCTGTTAGAGCAGTCTTGTGACTTATATTAGTGTCCAGCAGAGCACATGTTAAAGCTTGTAGAAGTAGTTTTCATTTTGCTCTAGGAGGATGCAGAACCCCTGACCTCTGTCTGGACAGTGTTGATCACATGCACTCTCCCAAGAAAAACATAACCACTCTAGCAATACACACCAAAAACTGAGCATGGTCAGAGTGACTCAGTGCACAGTGGGAGTAAATATAAACTGCTAAATACCTTTTCTCATCAGCAGTTAGAGCAGTCCTGTGACTTCTATCAGTATCCAGCAGAGCACATTTTAAAGCTTGTAGAAAGGGTTTTCATTCTGCTCTAGGAGGATGCAGAACTCCTGACCTCTGTGCTTATGGCCCTGTTCTGATCACATGCACTCTCCCAAGAAAAAAAAACAAACCTCTCAACAATACAAACCAAACTGAGCATGTGCAGAGCGACTCCACACAATATGTCTTATCAGCAGATAAGAGGGGGGCACTGGAAGAAAGGTAGGATCAGAGAAGTCAGGATGAAACAGCCTTTCTACACAATGCAGAGGATTTACCCCTTAGGTTCCATACTAAGTGTAACAAGCATGCCTTACTGCATATACAGACTGATTTTACTGTTATGGGTTTAGTAACACTTTTACATTTTAAATGCCCCCACAATGTAGCAAATCCTCATTTTTTGAGTTCAGGTTCACGTTAAACATAACATTATGAATCCGTACAGTTTATACTGAAGAAAATAATGACAATGACAGGATCTGTCTTTCCCTCTTCACGATGTGTTGTTTATTTCCCTTATGTTGTTGTGTTAGATGTGATACTCAAAAACATAAAAATACAGTTATTGAAAAATGCAATATGCGCAAGCAACAACATCCCTATAGGACAGTCACCCTTTTACCAAATCTGAGTTGATGTTGAATGCTGTGGCTGTAAATCCTGTATGTACAGTAATTATATGCAAACTAGAGCCTAATCAGACAACAATCTCATTAGTGCCAATGTATTTTATTTTATTGTATGTGTATGCACGGTACGACAGTATCAGTGTGCACTGTGCTTTAAAGCTTTTTCTAGGTAGGAATATGATTTCATTTTAGAAGCCCTTAAATGATGTGTAACCATTTTGGTGAATAATTAATATAGGTCATTTTGCACAGTGTACGCTTGTTGAGGCATGGATGTGAGAAAATAAACAGATAAATGTTCCCTTGCAGTTCCTCTCCTCTGGCGGCCACCTGAATATAGAATACGTTTGAAGACAAATGTATGATTTCATGGTCACATTTTATCAAACATTCTTTTTTATCCTTTGCATAATTTCAGTAGTGTTGCAAATGTGAACTGGACAGCCTTGTGATAACTACATTGATGCCTAACATTTGATATTTATGGATACAGCTCATAAAGCTAGTAAAAAACCTTGCTGAAGATGTTCCAAGGATCAGGACATTTATACAATATACACACTGTATTTGGTAGGAATGTCGCCCACTTACCTCTTTTTGGGGAAACATTTTTCTCTGCCTACAAAAGTATGTGCTTCTTCAGTGTCATGGCTTCCTCAAAGGTGGCTCTTCTGTCAATGATGCCTGGGTCCTTATCCAAGATAAAAAAAGGCATTTGAGACACTTTCTCTTGACAGGTTGAGCTCAAGTCTCTTGGCCTTGGAAATTGTAGAAGGGACAGAGATTCTTACCAACTTAGGCGGTTATCTACTAAAACTGGAGAGTGCAAAATCTGGTGCAGCTCGGCATAGAAACTAATCAGCTTTCAGGTTATATTGCCAATCTTAATTGAACAAGCTGAAGTTAGAAGCTGATTGGCTAGCATGCACACACAGATGCACCAGATTCTGAGTGCTCCAGTTTTAGTAAATCTCCCCCCATGTGTTTTACTGCAACACAAAAGTCTGAATTAGCCCTTAATGATTAATTTTTTTGTGAACTTAAGGGGGACTTTTGGTCAAATTATACTTTTCAGTTAAAGGTTAATTTTGCTTTTATTTTATTTCCAAATGCTTCCTATTTTTAGATCTAAAACACGTTGATAAAAAAATTGTTAGATCTTCATAAGATTTGTGTAGGGTGCTAAGAAACCAGGATTGTTTTATGCATTGTTAAGGAGGGCTTGGCGAGAACTGTTACTTGGAACTTAGGGGTGCAGGATAAATTGTGAGTACCTCTGGAAAAGGATTGAGTACCTCTGGAGTGCACCCCTTTTAGTAACCCCCCCCCCAGTGTCTATGGAGTAGCATCTGACAAAATCAGTGGTAGAACCAGTGCTTGGTGCCCTTACAGCATGGGTGTCAAACTGGCAGCCCTCCAGCAATTTTCAAGCTACAGGTCCAATGAGGCATTGCAAGATTGACAGTTACAAGCATGACTCCCAAAGGCAGAGGCATAATGAGACTTGTAGTTCCTCAAACAGCTGGAGGGCCACCAGTTTGACACCCTTGCCTTACAGCTTTTGGCACATACTGTGCCTCCCATTTGTCTTTTCACCCCGCCTGTTTTCTGTATTCCCCTGGGAACAAGTTACTATTCATTAACATCCTATAGTAAGCATAACCTGGTGTAGGTTATATACCTGTATCAGGTGCTTCTACCCTTCCCCCCTTCCTTCCTCTTATTATTCTATTTTGTGTCAATTAACATCATGCTTTGTACTTTATAAAATATGAATAAAGACATATTTGACCTAAAAAAAACTATAGTAAAATAATTGTGTCGACTATTGCATTTTCTAACTTGCACTGGAACCTTTGAATTTGACAGCATTTAAACTTTCTTTTACATAAGTTTTTATATCTTGGTTCCAATGTAAAGTTGAAGACTTAGTGCTTTTCCTGATGTTACCGTCACCTTATTTATCTGATATTATATGCAGAATTTATTTTTATGCACAGTTTGCTTTATGTCAATCAAATATTTATGGTTGCTAGATCTTTTTGTAAAATCATTTGTTATTTACAAAATTACTTCAGAAAACTGAATATGACATACACACTCTAGTCAAAATTAAACATGAATATCCTTTTCACTGGGTAGTTAATTTTTTTCAGGCCTTGCTGTATTGCAACAATATATTCCATTGCCTTCTGCCTGTAATCTGGTGATCCTGAGACACACCATCTAGTGGTGATAGAACAATCATTATTTTCCGTATCTTACATACCTGGTGTATTTTATTATTATTATACAGGATTTACCGGTATATAGCACCAATAGTTTACGCAGCGCTTTACAAAATGAAGGTAGACATTCCAGTTACAATACAATTTGGTACAAGAGGAAACAGAGGGCCCTGCTCGTTGGAGCTTACAATATAAGTAACCCTGCAAGCAGTTAGAAGGCTCTCTTGGCCACCAGTTAGATTCAAACTTTATTTAGAAATTTGAATGCAGTGATGAAGCAATAGGAAAAAGGAAATTACATGGTACATGTTTCAGCAAGAACATTGCAAATATTGCTCCTTCATAGAGGTGCATGGATATACACTACCAGGGACTAGACTGAGCTCAGATTAGGGTAGACTGAAAACATTTTCTGACTTTGTCATATCTAATGTGTTTACTGGAAAGCATGTTTTCTTATTCAAAGCTTTCACTTGTTTAGCATTTCACTTTTGAAATGTAGTATTTGTCATTTATTTTTGCAGATTCAGCAGTGGGAACAGAACCTGGAAAAGTTTAACATGGATCTCTTTCGTATGCGCTGCTATTTAGCAAGCCTGCAAGGAGGGGAATTGCCAAACCCAAAAAGCCTATTAGCAGCCGCAGGGCGGCCATCCAAGCTGGCACTAGGGAGGCTTGGTATCTTCTCTGTCTCTTCTTTCCATGCATTGGTAAGTTGTGTTTACAAAAAGGTTATACCTAATATCTGTAAAACCATTACAACTGGGTACTTAAAACAGTTGGAAATCTGACTAGTATTGCAAAATAATAATGATGCAAAATAAGTTTATAGCAAATAATTATCCTTTTAAAAATGAGAACATATTATGGTGAATAGTAGATAAATGCTTATTACTTTTTAGATATACAGTATATATTGATATGTAAGAGCCAGCAGGCTTTGTGGTGAATAATGTAATTACAAAGCCCAGCATGGTGCCATCATCCCACTGTATCCCGCAGTGCTCCCATATCACTTATAGATTGGTAGCCCTCACATAGAGTACATTGCTTGCCAAGCATACAAATAGATTTGCAGCCCAAGTCCAGGAACAGGTTCAGCCACTGTGGTTGTTTCTGCAGTGTAAAGGCCTAAGATAACTGGATACATTTGGTGTCATTTGTCCAGTGCTAGTGATTTCAACACAGCTAGAAAAAAATATATCTCTATATCAAGCAAGAACACATGAAATCTGAGGAAAACAATATTGATTAACCCTTTTACTGCCAGAGCCGATTTGCATTTTGTGCACACCTTTAAAATCATTTTAGGCCTGAAGATTACACACAAAACATCCAAACACTGAAAGCAGACACCCTAGAGAACAAAATAGTGGCAGTTCCAATATTGTAAGCCAAAGATATTACTGCAGATCTCAGTTAAAACCACACAAATTAATTTTATGGCAAACAAATTACTAAACATTTTTGTACAATATAAGAGATAAAGTTGCACCGAGTAAAAAGATACCCAACATGTCAAACCTTAAATTTGTGTGTGCCCGTGAAAAACTTCAGTACCCTATATTTTCTATAGGCAACACTTCAAAAGCTATATATTATATAGGGCGCGCTTGTTAGAGCCCAACCTCTGTAGCTGCAGGATAAGGGTGCCAGATGGATATCAGGGATGGATGGATGGGAGCAGTAACACCGAGGCAGCTCTTCTTAGAGTGGAAGCAAGGCTGTAATGCAGTAACATAAAAAAGTAAGGAAGGCGCCTCTAAGTGCAGTATTGACAATTTATTAATAAACAATAGATAAATTGCACTTACATGATACATAGTTAGAAAGACTCATCATGTGGTGTAATAAGATCCAGGTGGAACATCCAGCCGTCCAGCAGCAAACTCTGCTCTCCAAGCCTCATTTTGATGCACAGGCACATCCTGGGCTCTACTTCCTGATCCTATAGACAGAGTTTTCTGCTGGACGGCTGAATGTTCCACCTGTCAATACTGCATTTAGAGGTGCCTTCCTCTCTTTTTTATATAACACTTCAAAAGCTGCCTGTAGATCATTAATTTAGTGTTATGGAGAAGGTCTTGTGCTAGAATTATTGCTGTCACTCCGGTGTGCACGGCGATGTATAACATGTGTATCACAGTCAACGTTTTCACGAGTAGGTGCCCCTGACGCATGCATTTACATGGATATATGTGGGGACAGGGTCTCAAAAATATTTGGGAGAGATTTTATGTACTTGGGTGTAACTTTATTTTTTTGCAAAAAAAAACATTTATTTTTTTTTGCGTGACTTTTTTTTTTTTACATAACGGGGCAAAAAGTCCCTATGTGATAATTTTTTGGTGACAGGTTCTCTTTAATGAGACATGCAGGGTCCAAAAGGCCCTGCATGTCTGTTCTGGGCTCCACTGGATGTATTGCAGTGCAGATCGCATTGTTTCTTGGCTGTGTTAGCTGGGAAAAGTGATAGGTGACCCAAAAGTGATGCCATACACGCCGCTTTTCAGGTCACAGGAAGAAGGGCAGGAGAGCAGACGTGTGTCCTCCTTTCCATCCACCTGGGTTGTGTGGAAACAATTGAGCATCAGTGCAGCCGCCTGACTGCGTCCATCTGACAGGCAGGAGTCTGCCAGTCTGTTTTAGATACAATCCCAGTGGCTGTAACTATCAGATTGTGTGTAACCCCCCCCCCCCCCCCACTGTCAGGTCTGTACAATGTATTTACCTAGCAGTGAAAAGGTTAAAGTAGGTTTAGCTAGCTTTTTGCAAGTCAAGCATCATTGTTCATGGCTGTAGATATTCTTCATATACTAATAGACTGATTTTATTATAGTGAGGTGAGGTGTATTCAAGGTAAAGCAGTGCTCATCTAAAACATCCTATCATAGGCGGAGGAATTAAAAAGTCCCAAATTCCACATTCACATGACTGGATGCATAGAGCAGAACTAAACAGATCTAACTTAGGTTTCTCAAAACAGTTACAGTCAGGGCATTCCTGACATTGAGTGTTACTAATGTGCTTATGTTAGCGCTCAATCGAAATGTCAAGCTATCATATGGATTGTGTCATAGCTGATCATATGGGCAGCCCCATGGCAACTACAGATCAAACAGAGGCTAAGATGGCAGCTTTCTTGGCTGTAAGGGATAGGAGGGTTTAGTTCTGCTTTAATGTGCAGATTTCCTTACCCAAATATTGTTTTTTTTCAACTGTTCCTGCTCTGTTAAGGATACAGTAAGTTACACCGTAAATGTATCTACGCACTACAAACTGAAAACATTGTTTAATTCATTTTTAATATGCAAAACAAATTCACCCATTCATCCACCCATGTCTCCATGCTTTATTTTGTTGAGAAATCACTATGAAGAATACCCCCCTAGCATTTCTAGCTGTGGCCATCTTGAGTAAGGGCAGATGATGTAGCATTTACTTCCTGGAAACCATCTTCTCTTAGCTCAGGCCTGCAGGCAGGAGGCTGTGCTTAGCTGAGAAAGACCCTCCTCCCCCCCATATAGTGTTATATGAAAGAAAACACTCCCTATATAGGGTTTTATGACATGTTGGCCTAGACCAGAATCCAGGAAGCAACTGAAGAAAGAAAAAAAAAAAGTTTAAAACAAGTAGATGTAATTTACCTTCCTATCTATTTACTAAGGTTAGCTGCATAAGGATTAAAAACAGTAATATGGAATGAGTGAGTTTAGTTCAACTTTAAGGTTTTTACCAGCACGTTTCCGTACTGACATTTCACAATATTTTTGTAATATTGTAACAATATTACAGACTGTGATCATTGACATTTTCAAGAAAATGGTTCATTTTGGTAGATCTGTACAAAGTAAAATAAGAATAATGGTTGAGTGGTTCTTGGAGTGGAAAAAAGCAGGATATCCACAAGAAAAAAAGTGAGAGAATAGGTCAGAGAGCCCTTACAGGGAGGTAGTCAATAAATGAGCAAGACGTAAGGTCATTGAGCTAAAAGTAGAAGTGTAGGGAATAGATTATACTTTACATCAGTTGTGGTTGCGAATAACTATACACCAATGGAACATGTCTGTCTCCATGCAGGAATAGAGTTGATACATTGTTTGCTGGGCAAACATATGATTCGATTCAAAGCTGATCTCTGTACAGATAAAGTATAAAAGACACAAATTAACTACTTTTAGTCTCTTTTTTTTTTTCTAGAAAACTACTTAGAACCCTCAAACATTATATATTTTTTAAGCAGAGGACCTAGGGAATAAAATGGGTGTTGCATATTTTTATGTCACACTGTATTTGTGCAGCGATTTTTCAAACACACATTTTTTTTGTAGAAAATACACGTTAATGAATTTTAAAGTACAAAAACACAATATAATACCCAATTGTTTGGTAAAGTATAAAAGATGATGTTACGGCGAGTAAATAGATACAAAACATGAAACACTTTAAAGCTGTGGAATTGTGCCAAACTACAGTACCTTAAAACCTCTATAGGCAATGATTTAAAAGTCTTTACAGGTTACTAGTTTACAGTTGCAGAGGAGGTCTGGCACTAAAATGATTTCCCTCACTGATGTTCATGGAGATATCTCACATGTGTGTTGAGATCACTGTTTACGTATGCGTACGGGACCTATGTTGCAATCACATTTGCGTGTGCACAGGGAAACAAAAATGTACAGTGCGTCTTTATTTTATTATTTTTTTTGCTATCAGAAGGGATGAACAATATCATTTGTGATAGCATGGGCCATGACAGGTCCTCTTTATGGAGAAATCTGGGGCCTATTAGACCCCATATCTCTTCTCTGGCTTCCAAAGCATCTGATCAAAACAATATAGTTTTGATTAGATATTTGTTCAAGCTGGAAATGGCTTGTTTACATAAGACAAGAAATATTCATCGCTTCTGGTTTCTGATGTCACACAGTGGGAGTAACAACATCAGTTCCTCTCACTGTGTCTTAGGAACCGGTTGCCACTGCTCACATCCTTAACGGGCTCCCTGATTGCACGGGAGAGTCCAGTTAGGCTAGGTTCACATATGTGCGGGTGCTGGGGCTGCTGATCCGCACGAAAATCTGTGCAGCTGCACCACCCCCACTGAGGAATGCTGACCCGTGGGCCATATATGTGAACCAGGGGTAAAAGCAGCCCGGTACGTCACTGAACTGGAATCGGTTACTACAGCTCTGTATTCAATCATAAACACATAATTACATTTATTTTTAAATGCCAACAGTGTACCTTCATTTGACACGGTATCATCCTTTACAGTCCACCATGCTGCAGAGTTCAGAGTAGAGCAAAGAAGAACCAGTATAAATATTCATTCAAGGCTGCAGTGTGCATGTGCTTAAAAAGAGCATGCTGATAGGAGGAAAACGCAGTGTGACAGAAAGATAAGCAAATCTGTCTGCTGCTACTCCTTTTTTTATTTTTTCACTGGCTCAGGGTGGGACAAGACCCAAAAGTTTTATTTAAAAGGAAGTGGAAAAAAAAAATCAGGTTTGTTGATCTACCAGATGAGAATTTGCTATGTGGAAGAGCTGTGTAAATTTCAAGACTTGATTGAAAGAAACACAGTGCCAGCTAATTAAATTCAAGTGACCGGCCTAGAACAAGTAAATGCCATTATGTGTCAATGTGTTGTTGTCATCATCTAAATCAGTTGTCTCCAAACTTTCTAAACAGAGGGCCAGTTTACTGTGGGGCCGGACCGTGGCCAGTGGGAGTAGAAAATGCCCTGATGTCAGTGGGAGTGAACAATGTCCCATCTTTAGTATTAGGGGAAATATTAATGCCCTATCATTGGTGTCAGTGGAATGAATAGTGCCCCATCATAGATGTTAATGGGATGAATAGTACCCCATCATTGATGTCATGAGAAGGAATAGTGCCCCATCATTGGTGTCAGTGGAATGAATAGTGCCCCATTATAGATGTTAGTGAGATGAATAGTACCCTGTCATTGATGTCAGGAGAAGGAATAGTGCCCCATCGTTGGTGTCAGTGAAATGAATAGTGCCCCATCATAGATGTTAGTGGGATGAATAGTACCCCATCATTGATGTCAGGAGAAGGAATAGTGCCCCATCGTTGGTGTCAGTGGAATGAATAGTGCACCATCATAGATGTTAGTGGGATGAATAGTACCCCATCATTGATGTCAGGAGAAGGAATAGTGCCCCATCTTTGGTGTCAGTGGAATGAATAGTACCCCATCATTGATGTCAGGAGAAGGAATAGTGCCCCATCATTGGTGTCAGTGGAATGAATAGTGCCCCATTATAGATGTTAGTGGGATGAGTAGTACCCTGTCATTGATGTCAGGAGAAGGAATAGTGCCCCATCGTTGGTGTCAGTGGGAGGAATAGTGCCTCATATCAGTGGGCGGAATAGTGTCCCAAGGGCTGAAGAAACGTTTGCAAAGGGGCACATTCGCAGTTTGGAGACCACTGATCTAAATGAATTGTGTACAAAAACAAAGATGTGTTTTAGCAGTGAGCTTTTGACAGTGTTAAATATGGGGGTTTGAATGAAATTAAACATTCTCCTTTACTATTTAGATCTGCTCTCGGGATGAATCTGCCCTGAGGAAAAGGACATTTTCTCTTTCACAAAAAGTGCAGATTAAGAAGAGTTTATTTTCATCTCTTAAAGGGATTGATACCCTTGCAAGGAAGGGGAAAGAAAAGAGACCTTCGGTAACTCAGGTACGGCACACCAAAGGCAAAATATGCCAGTTTTTAATTCTACAAAAATTATGTAATTCACTTTGTTTTTAAATTAAACATGTGCAGAAATATTTGGATGTCTCTTTTCATAGTATACTTTTTTAAATGTATGTTATATTGTCAATGTTAAAGAGGTAGTAAACTGCAAGAAAAAGAAATCAATGGGCCCCTGCAGGTTTAGGTCATAATGTAGTAGTATGCACTGCATACCACTACATTATGACAGACTTACCTTTACATGGAGCCCTCCAGCGCAGCGCTGTCATTGAGCTGCCATCTTCACCCGGCCTTCCTTTTGGGGTCCCAGGCTCCAGCAATTTGAATGACCAGTGCCGTGATGAAGTCACTCCCATGCATGCGCGCGGGAGTCTTCAGCTACAGCACGGAGCTTTGCACAGCACAGTGCCTTCAGCTACGGAACGATATGCTGTCCCTTCAGAGCGCATGCACAGGTGACGTCACCGGCTACATGTTATGTGAATATCTTTACACAATGCAAGTCTAGGAGATGTTCACTGTACCTGCAGGTAAGCCTTATAATAGGCTAACATGTAGTTACAAGTTCTAAAGTGAACTCTACTTCCACTTTAAGCTGCATGTTTCCTATCTGTTTCTTTGTTTCTTTCTAGATTTTTGATACCAATAGTAGCCAGTCTGGCTCTGGGACACAGATTCCACCCAATATGAGTGGCTCCAGTGAGGTAAGCTTACATACTATATCTGGTTATAATATAGTTAGCATATAGCTGTTACTAAAAAGTCTGTGTAAAAATAAGGTTTTTTAACTGTACATTAGAGTCTTTTACATCTGTTGACCCTTTGCTGGCTACTAAGGTAATTTAATTGGACATGGAATGGCTATTGGCATGGCTTAGCCAGATAGGTGAATAGATCTGATGGCACAGGTGGGGTTAAAGTACAGAATAAGGATGAGGATCGGGTTAACCACTACCATGGTTTGAGGTGAATCCTGTGAATTCAAGATTTACAGTCCTGGCAAATTTATGTGCAAATTCACCAAGGACAATTTTTCTAAAACCATAATGCATTGTATAGTTTTTGAACTATAACCATCTGGCTTGGAAGAGACAGTAAGGGCTTTTGGATAAGAAAGCCCATACAGCCATCATTTTTTTTTTTTTGCTCAACCAGTGGGTTGAACAAAAAAAAAAAGGATACGATTCCCCTTCTACATATTCAATGTAAATAGGGGATTCCTCCCACTGTGCTATTGTGTTCTGATGGTGGGGAGCCTTCTCCACAGTCAAAATAAAATGATCAGTGCTGCCAGCTAAAGCTAATTGATTTAAAAAAAATCTGAAGGTTTTAGAGAAGTTGATCGGTACAACCTTCTGTACAACCAGGGTGCCCATACATGGATTGAAATTCCACTGGTCCATGCTGAACTAACCACATTTCGATCCCTGTTTGACCAGTTTAGGTCAGTCCTTTCACTCTAAAAGGCGGGGCAGCCATAGCGCACTTGAAGCTGCTGTAGGGAAATAATAGGGAAAGCTGACAAAGAGACAAGGTTCAGCTGGGAAATGGTACTGTAATTCTGATTGTCAATTCTTTTGGCAGTTGAACCTATTATCCTTAAGTAAAACTGTCCTACTGCTGCCAATTTTACATTGCTATATACTCTGAAGTATCCTAATTCTTGTTGTAATGCCCAGTCTGTGCTCCTTGTCTCTAGTATATTTGGGCCTAGCCTTGCTTTTTAAAATGTTCCTGCTGCTGGCCAATTTCACAATACTGTGATGAATTCTTGTTCTGTATGCTTGTCCTGGGTCGGTAAGTACAAAAGCCAACGTTTCAGAATAACTGCGAGAACACTAGTATTTTCAGTAGACCTCAGCATTGGCAGCTTTCATACTCCTTCAGAATAGGTTTCCTTTAATTTCACTGTAATCTGGCTGAAAAGCTGCACAAAGCTCCCTCTTTATTAAAACCTAATGCCACCCTTTCTGTCTGTCCACTTTGCTGATACAGCAGAAGTAAAGGAGCACACCACTATCATATTTTTTTTTCTATGTGATGCACTGTGTCAGTGGCCCCATTGGACTGGCCAAATTTCTATCAATGTGTGGGCTTCCCTTATTCCTGATTGTTTAAATTGACTTCTGTTAAAGGGACATGTTGGACATGGTCAAGGGGGGATGGGATGGTATTCCCTCATCCACCTTGTTTGTTAATTTTTGTGTTTTTTTTCATTATTATCATATTTTTTATTCACCTTGCTGGCTAGAACATGGCCAACTAAAGGATAAAGCTCTCTAATGGAGCTTTCGGACCCTTTCACATTAGAATGCTGTGCAGAAAACCCACAATCCGTGCCGATTTCCTGCATCGCATTCAAATTGCACTGCCCTTGCGATCTGCAGTGGATGTGAGTGAGAAGTTAATGACACCCTAAATGCAGGTCGCAAATGCAGCGCGTTTGCCCACACTAGATCACATAACACAAAAGTACCATTGGATCCGGTTGCAGTGTGTTTCCAAAACTAGAGCATGCACTACTTTTGTTACAGTATGGTGCGATTTCAGACTATGCAAAATGAATGGGCTAAAATCGCACTGCACAAAACAGCATGTGAATTGCACGTGAACACGCAGCACGTTCCTGTGCAGTTCCTTGTGTTTATGGGCCCTTAGATATTAGTAGAAAGTGGGAGAGAGGTTCTAATATTCCCCTGCTATATACAAAATAAAAGCAACGTTTTCGTTTGCCATACACTTTATGTACCCTTGTATTATTAGAAAAGACTGCAATGTCAGCAGAATGACTTGCCTCCTTGAGCTTGCCATTTGGATGATTTGATTGACAGGTAGGGCCAAGTTTCAATACAGGATTAAGCTGTGAAAACAATACAGATTTTTCCTGATCATGCGAATTTACAACTGCATAATACAGTTTTTGTTGTGAGCTGCTGCACTGTACAGTGAGAGACCTGCTTCAAACTACGGAGAACAGCTGCTCCTCAGTGGGACACAAGTGTGAATACAAAATCACAGCAGATAACAAAACTGTGGATAACGAAGCACAGTGGTAGTTTCAGCACACTGCTGGTGTTGTGCCCCGGAAAGCCCTTATTTTTTGGCACATTGTGTGCATTGTAGCATATTATGAAAAATGACTTTATCTCTACTGTGTTGTAAATTAAACGCATGGCCTGTGAACCTGGTCTGTGTGTTTCTGCTTGCAGGTACCATGTTTGCTCAGCTTTGTGTTTGCCATAATAAAATGTAATGATTTATTTAGGGTAATTCCTACATTTGAATTAGGGCAGAGTTCACATACAAATCATCGGTATTGTACTATGTAAATGTGTATATTGTAGATATGGGGGCTACCATTAAAAAAATAAGGATTTTTTTTTTTTCAAATCAGAAATAACGTTTATTAATGGTGAAGTCATACATTTCCAAAATGACAAAGCATGTACAGAATGGTAGCAAAGACTTAGGGCTCATGTACACGAAGCATTTGGAAAACTCTTTTGAATGATGGAAACTGACTGCTGAAAAACGTAGGTTAAAAAACTGTCAGTTTAGCTGCATTTGCATATTGCATGTATGTGCATTTGCGTTTAGAAGCGTTTTCAAAAGATAACCTCAGGAGACCTTCCCAAATGCCCAGAATGCACTGAAAAATAGTAAAAAAATTAACTATTTCAGACAATTTGAGAGGAATAGAGTGAGCAGAAGCAGAGAGAGCAGTATGTGTTGAGATGACCTGTCTTTTCTGGTTGTATTCACTATGGATCCCATTATGAGCATAATGCAGCATGTTCTACAATTTTTTCCTTCACACGAAACCTGGAACTGACTGCGCTGGTGTATTAGGGCCATTTGAATACATGGAAAACATGGAACAGTTAAAAAACGCTTCTATACACAAACGCTTATAAACGCGGTTAACCGCATTTACAAGCGTTTGGCCTTTGAAACGCCGGTAAAATCTACTCCTGAACGCAAGTTTGGTGCATTCAAAAAAACGACTGTAAACTGAACTGCTGTTCTCTGTGATGTGTCTGTCATAGACATGGCAGAAATGAAAACTGATAGCTCCTAGTTAACAAAGCCGCTTGCACCCCTTTTGCTAATTAGGACCAACATCTGCTCCATTTTTGTGTTTAGTAGAGTGGTGCAAGCATTATGCTTGTGCCACTCTTTAAGGCTCTTTTTTTTGTGGTGTTTGGATGTCTTCCAGCTTATTGCTGTGCAGAAATCATTGCAGCATTGTCTAACATATTTTCTTTCATGCGAAACCTCAAAGTATGGTGTACCAGGTCCATCGGAGTACCGGGAAAACGCTTAGCATGCGTTTTTCATGATGAAAAAAGGCTCTGGACAGCATCTGGAAATGGAAAAGTTTTGCCAACACTTATAAATGCGGTTAGCCACGTTTACACGCATTTACAAGCGTTTGAAACGCTGATAAAATCTACTCCTGAATGCAAGTTTGTGGCATTAAAAAAAACGACTGTAAACTCAACTGCCTATAAATGACTGTAAACGACTATGTGTACATGGACACATAGGAAAACATTAGGGAGAGTTCAGGGGCTGCTGAAATAAATGCTGAGCAGCTGCTGAACGTCAGTTTAGGAGCTGCAGTGTACATGAGCCCTTAATCATTAACAAACCAAACAACATAATAGAGAAATCCTTCCAGTGCCATCAATAAGACAAGAATTCAACAGTCTGTGCAAAATTACAGAGATAACACATTACAATACAATCAAATAGGAAGACAATTTTGCATTTACTGGACAATAGGAGTATCCCCATAACAGTGGACCCGCGGGAAACAGAGAGCACTCTGCCCCCACCAGGGAATACAGGAGAGACATAAATTGGTCTTGAGAAAGTGATAATCAATTTACAATCAGAAGTAACTACAGCAGTCTGTGCATTATTAAATCAAAAGGGGATAAACCTGGAGTGGCCAACCAAGCATCCCAAAGTTTCTCAAATTTACCCAAGCATCCTCTATGCTGGTAAACTAAACGATCATATCAAAGGATATTTAAAGCAATTAAAAATAATGCAGCATATGAGGTTTGGGAATATTATGGAAGCACTTTGTCGACTAAAGCAGATTGCCTTTCCAGATATTACTAGCAGTACAGGGCCCTCATAATGCTGGCTTCCCCTATGCAGTTGTTAGGTGACACTGTACATATAAACAATTCCTTATATATAAGGAATGGAATAAGCCATTCCTTATATATAACATGGGCAGCACAGTGGATAAATGGTTAGCATTTCCACTTGGCAGTCCTAGGGTTGTTGGTTCAAATTGCAACTACAGCACCACCTGCCTGGAGTTTGCATGTTCTCCCTGTGCCTGTGTGGGTTTCCTCCAGGCACCCCATTTTTCCTCCCACATTCCAAAGACATGCTGGAAGGTGAATTGACTCCTGTATATGTAAATTTTTAATTGTTGCTAGTACAGGTACCTGAATATTAACTTCAACTAGTCTCCTGTAATCCCTAAACAGCAGCACTCAGAGAAAGAAAGAGAAAGAGAGGGGCAGTTCTAGGGACTAATCAAGTATATTGCATGCACATGTGCTGCCAAAAAATATGCAAGAACAGGAAAGAGGTGACCTATCAGTAATCATTTGCTCTTCAAGTGTAATGCCCCGTACACACGATAAGAAAATCGTACAAAAAATTTTGCAGAACCGCTGTT